TGATATAAACTTGGCCACAGTATGTTTTTTCTATATCAGATCCTCATCTTATTTATACTGCCATAAACTCTGTAGTAACAGCATTGACTGTAACACAGTTCTTGTTTGGCTTACACTGATATAACTGACATCAGAATCTAATCCACTTAATTTGATTGATTCCTTGTATTCTTTATAAAGGAAAAAATACCATACTTCTGTGCTACTTTTTCCCTTTCTGGGAGAAATACATATCGGGCTGTGTCTATACTGGGCCACTTATTCCGGAAAATCAGCCGCTTTTCCGGAATAAGCTGTGAGCTGTCTACACTGGCCCTTGAATTTACGCTCTACTGTACAAAATCAGCCGCTATTCCGGAAAAACTATTCTGCTCCCGCTCGGGCATAAGTCCTTATTCCGGAACACTGTTCCGGAAAAGGGCCAGTGTAGACAGCCCAGTAGTCTTTTCTGGAAAAGCACGTCTACATTGGCCACAGACGCTTTTCCGAAAAAAGGGCTTTTCTGGAAAAGCAGCCTGCCAATGTGGACGCTCCTTTTCCGGAAAAACTGAAAACAGAATAGTATTCCGTTTTAAGCAGTTCCGGAAATTCATGCCAGTTTAGCACAGCCATAGTGTTGTAAATCTCAGAAGGGTAGCCATGTTAGTCTGTAACTTTAAAAATAATGAGCAGTCCTGTGGCACTGTAGAAGTTAACAAATATATTATACTGTGAGCTTTCATGGTAAAAGCCACTTCATCAGATGAATTGGAGTGGAAATGACAGAATCCCACATATATATAAGAGTGAAAGCATTTTCCTGTCAATTGTGGGACCAGTGTTAATAAAGCTAATGTAGTCAGGCTGGACGTGTCCCAGTCATAGCTTTTGATGTGTAAATGTGAATATCAAAGGCAGGGGAAATTTCCTTTGTAGTCCATTAACAAGTTAGTATCTTTATTCAAGACCAATATTATAGTTTCAAATTTGTAAATGAATTCTAGTTCAGATGTCCCTCGCTAATCAGGGGTAAATTTCTTTTATAGAAGAATAGCTACTTTTAAATCCATTATTGAATATCCAGGGAGGTTAAAATGTTTCCCTATAGGAGACACGTGTCTTACAATTCCTGATGTCTGATTTGTATCCATTAGTACTTTGTCATAGAGACGTCCAGTTTAGCCAATATACATGGCAGAGGGGTATTGTTGGCACTTGATGGCAAATATCACATTAGAGAATATACAGTTATATGAGCCCCTGTTGTTGTGGCTTATGTGGTTATGTCCTATGATGGTGTCGCTTGTATAGCTATGTGGAGTTGACACTGGGGTTTGTTGCAGAGGTAGGTTCCTAGATGAGTATATTTGTGGAATGGTGTGTGGCTGCTGGTACGTATTTGCTTAAGTTTGGAGGGCTGTCTGTAGGTGAGGATTTACCTTTCTCCCAAGGTCTGTGAGAGTGAGGGGTCATTTTCCAGGATAGGTTGTAGATGGTTAATGATGTACTGGAGAGGTTGAAGCTGGGAGCTGTAGGTAATGACCAGTGATGTTCTGTTATTTTCCTTGTTGGGCGTGTAGGTAACAATAACAGTTAATAGGTATACAGTATAGGGTGGTGTTTATGTGACCATCACTTATTTGTACTATAGTGTCAAGGAAATTGATCTCTTGTGTATGCTAATCCAGGATAAGGTTGATAGTGAGGTGGAAATTGTTGAAATCCCTGTGGAATTCTTCAAGATGTCCTTCCCATGGGTCCATATGATGAAGATGTCATCAGAGTAGTGTAAATAGAGGGATACCAGAGGATGGGAGCTGAGGAAACATCCTAGGTCAGACATAAAAATGTTGGCATATTGTGGGGCTATGCAGGTACCCATAGCAGTGCTGCTGACTAGAAGGTATAAATTGTCCCCCGTGCTCAATAACGTTAAAACTAGCATTTGCTGTGTCCAATGGCACATCTTAACACATGATTTTTTTTACTGAATGTAAAGAACTAGCAGTAATCTGAAAATAAGTATTTTGCATGAAAAAATTCAGAAAGAAAATTTAAAAAATAGTTTTGTTTGGTTTTTTCAAAAATTTTCTAGGCTACATCTACACTTTTGCTGCCATAGTAATATTGGTTAGGGTGCAGGGTTGATGTTGTTAGTGGGGCTTTTTTGTTTTTTGTTTTGGTTTTTTTTAAGGACATAGATGTAATCCTTATGTAGTCGCAAGTAGAGCTGGCATAAAAGTGTTTTTTTTCCTGGATTGCTTATGTTGATTACCAAGGCAGTAGAAGCAATACTGGCAAAAGCACTTGTCTGTTATAGGTTGGACCTCCCTGGTCCAGTATCCTCAGGACCTGACTGGTCCTTGGTGAAGGATTTTTCCGGCACCCTGCTTCTGGCCCCCCTGCCTCTCCCCGCCCAGCTTCCTGGCTCCTCCCTTGCAGCCCAACTGAGCCACATGCTGGCTCCCAGGCCCCCCCCCCCTCACTTCAAAGTAGGAATAAGACCCTCCGGAAAAGGGCACTTTTTCCGGAGGATCGGGGCCAGTCTAGACGCTCTTTTCCGGCTTTTTTTAAAGCCGGAAAAAAGCGGCGGACATTTTTATTTAAATGCCGCGGGGGATATTTAAATCCCCCGCGGATTTCCCTACGACGACTGGTGAAATTTACATGCCCCTTCCGGAAAAGGGGCCAGTGTAGACGTAGCCTATATGTGCTTGGAGCAAACCTCTGCCACTAAGATTTAAGCCTGTGCCAGCAGGGAAGGGAGCCCTACTGACAATGAACCTACATTGGAGCCAGTGCCTCAGAAAGACTCAGGGTAGAAAGAGCTGCCAGGAGCTCCTGTCTGTCCACAAAGCTAGACTGTGATGATGATGGGCAATCACTCATTGCCAAGCATTATTATTTTCCATGAGAGTTATGGGCCCTCAGGTGGCTGTTAAGGCCGATCCTTGAACCACAAGTTATATTACAGTGAGGACAGATGTTTCTAGGTACAGCAGAAGGCTGCTGACCATGACTAGAACCTAGTCTCTCCTTCCTCCTGCACCTCTTCTCCTCTTCAGCATGTCATCGGGCAAATTCACAATGCAGGGAGCTATTGCGTAGAACTTGTCTCCATTTTGAGTGATCCTGGGCGATTGTCTCCCAAGTGTCAATGTCAATGTTGCACTTCTTTAAGTCATCCTTTAGCAAGTCCTTATAATGCTTCCGTTGGCATCCCACATTACAGTATCCTTTCAGCTGAGAAAATAGGACCTGTTTTGGGAGGCGATGGCCTGGCATCTGAACAGCGTGACGAGTCCAGTGAAGTTGCTGACAGATGATCATTGTCTCAATACTGGTGGTCTTTGCCTCTTCCAGAACACTGATGTTAGTACGCCTGTCTTCCCATTTGATCTTCAAGATATTGCGGAGGGAGTGCTGGTGATATCTGTCAAGGACTTTGAAGTAGTGTCTGTAGGTTGTCCAGGTTTCAGACCCATACAATAGTGTTGGAAGAATGACAGCCTGATAGACACGAAGTTTAGTGTCTGTTCCAATGACATGATCTTAAAAAACCCTGAGCTGTAAATGAGCAAAGGCCACACTGGCACAGCTCATACGATGTTGGATTTCTAAAGCAATATCTGTCCTTGATGAAAGACAACTTCCAAGGTATAGAAAATAATCAACATTCTCCAGTGCCTCTCTGTTGATTTTAATAGATGGGGCACATGGTACCTCATTTGGAGAGGGCTGATGGAGCACTTTGGTTTTCTTGATGTTGAGGGTGAGACCCAGACATGCATAGCCTGAAGATCTTTCTCAGTGTGGGCAAAAACTCCATTGACATTAGCACACTGAAGTTCCATGACAGATGTGGTGGAAATCTTACTTTTATCTTTCAGCCTGCTAAGCCTAAACAGCTTTCCATCCATTCTGTAGATGATTTCAATGTCAGCTGGGAGCTTCCCAGCAATTAGGTAAAAAATGACTGCAGTAAAGACTGCAGACATGGTTGGGGCAACGATACAGGCCTGTTTCACTCCTGTTTGTACTTTGAAAGGTTCACTCTGGGACAGCACTTTACTGTCTGTCCACAAAGCTAGCATGTACTGTACTGCCAGCCATAGTGTGCGCACTGGATGACTGGGAGTATGGTCCCCCTGCCACTAAGATCCAGCCCTCACTATTGTTCCCTCTTATTGCCTGGGTGTGGTAATGGGAGAAGACAAGGAACACGGTTAGTAACCGGATATTGGGTTTGGTGGACTGCTGGTATGAAATGGTTGGGCAGTCTTCACCTTTCTGCCCTTTTCCCTACCTCTCCTTAGCACACCTCTCCTGTGACTCCTCCAATAACAAAGGGCAGCCTTTAGACTTTACTGTCAGTTTTTCTGCCAACTTCTCTGAGAAAATCACTCCCTCCTGTTAGCAGGTATTTGCACAGTACCTACCATAGTTTACACAGAATCTAAGGACACTGATCATGGCCTTTGGATGCTACCTCAATATAAATATTAAACAATAGTCACTCTGTTTACAAACTGGTGGATACACATTGCACAGTAGCTATGCAGTGCGTCTCTAGAGTGAACCTGTGACCTTTTGTATTTTTGGAACCTACCCGGTGTTTGATTTTAAAAAAATTTACAGCATCTATGTAAAAGCAACTACTAACCAGTGCACATCAAATGTGAATGCTTTTTGCAATGATGTTTGTGTGTCATTAGAATAAATTAAAAAGCAAATGATTGAATTGTGTTTGTGCTAATTAAAATATTTACAAATTTGAGAAAGATGCATTTATTGTCCCATCGGGAAAGGGTCCTTAAACCTTTCATGTCTTGGAGTTTATAGTGCTGCCATTAATTTATAGGCTGTTATGTATACCTGGGTGATTGGCTGTTTAGATTACTCTTCCATGACACATAATTCCTAAGAAGTCTGCAACTTCAATGGATTAGAAAATGGGTTTATATGTACACATATATATGCGTTTGTTTTAACCAAATGCCTTTCTTTTCCTTCTTTTCAAGGTCCAAGAGTTCCAATTGTGACTGTTCATAACATGACAGATAAACAAAGTAAGTACTGGGCTATATTGTGCACATTGTCAAAGAAAAGCAGTCAGGCAATATAATAAAACACAGCCATTCTCCATTAGACTTTAAATTGGAAGTACCCAGACGTGCCTATAGGTGGGCCACAGAGGCATCTTAGCTGGAACTGAAGGGCCTAAACCAATATGTGTTGTACTGAGCAGATTGTTAGGAAGATGGTGCACCTCGGGTGAACCTCTTTGTGCTAGAGGCACAATGTGCATGTTTTAATTTTACCTTGCCCTCCCCTCCCCTGCTATGTGTTTCATCTACCAGTTGCATGTTTTTGTAGCCTCAACTGAAATTTCTTTGAGGCAAGGGGTGCCTTTTAGTAAGGGTTTGTACAGCACCTAGGACAGACGAACCCTAGTTGCTGAAAGGAGCCTTGGGCAATACGGTAATACAAATAATAAGCAATATGCTTGAACCTCTTTAATCCAGCAATCCTGGGAAACAGGGAATGGGACTGTATCTCATATGAAGCCAGAGTGTGTTAACCTCCCCCTTTCCATCTCCCCCACAAGATAATAAACAGTTTTATAGAGGACAGATACTGAATTTAGTTAACCTGACCCTCACACAACCCAGACCTGCAAATGGCTGTGGCTTCACTTTAAACATGCCCAGCTCTTTAAAACACAAAGAAATAGAGGCAAGGTCCCTTCTCTGCACAGCTACTATCTGGCTTGCCCCCATTACGATCCAGAGCCATATTCATACATTTCAACTGTAAGCAGTGTGAGGTGGGAACCCTGTTTTCACCACATCTGTACGATGGGTAGCACATTGGAGCCTTGTTTTGTGTATCTGAGGCTTCTAGGCATTGCCATAAGGCTGATGATAAACAGTAAGGAGGCTTGATATGCTCCAGCTTCTTTGCATGGCCCTGGCGATGCAAAGCAGCTGTCAGTCTGGTATAACTGGCTTTGCAGCTATTTAGTGGTGCCAGAGCAGCTCCTAGTTGCCAGAGTGTACCAGTGAACCTGGCCCACAAATGCAGAGCCTGCTAGGGGATGAGTACCTCTCACTTCCCTTTGAAGGCTGTGGATCTGAGGGCACTTTATAGGAGTCTGTGACAGGAGACAAGCCTCAAAGCGGTAGCCATGTTATCTGCAAAAACAACAAGGAGTCCTGTGGCACCTTAAAGACCAATAGATGTATTTGGGCACAAGTTTTTAAGGGTAAAAAACACTTTGTCCATGTGTAACTGCCACAGGGCAGATTTGAACTTGGGGCCTGTAGAGCTTAGCGTAGGAGCCACTACAGCATAAGCTCAGCTTAGACTGTAGTGCTCCCTTGTTCTTAGTGCTTGCTCTCAGTGCCAGTACATGGGACAGTGAACCACACTAGGTGTGTGGGTTACACCTGGTCCATCTATCTTTGGCCAAACTACAGCTTATTCATGGCTCCCCAAACAGAATATAAATCCCCCTCCACACATTCAGCCGACTGTGGATGAGCCGATGAGCGGAGTTAGTTTTATGAGCTGATCTATATGAAATTGTGACATGTCAAAGTGCTGTGCTTCTGGTGGAAGGAATAGTCACAGCAGCGTGAGTGGCAGCAGGGTATAGCCACCTCAAAGTGTAACCCATACACCTAATGTGGTTCCACTGTTCCATGGCACTTAGACCACTTACAGTGAGATAAAAGAACAAGGGAGCTCTACAGTCTAAGCTGCGTGCCAGGTGGCTTTATAGCCCAAACTGTAAAGGGTCCTATATGAAGCTTCTCAGGTCCCAGGTTCAGATCTGCCCTGTGGTGGTTACATGTACATCTGACAAAATATTGTTGATCAATGGAAGTCTATGCCCAAATAAAGCTGTTAGCCCTGGTCAACATTAGGGAGTTATTTCAAAATGGGCAATTCTCTCATGCATTGGGATTAGCACTGAAGAAACTGTGAGGCCAAGAACTTTGTTATCAACAACAAACCCAGAGTTGAGCAGTTGTAAGAAATGTGATCGAGAGTGGAGGGGTGATGACCAGCTCAAGGAAACCAAATTTGTGCTCCTTCTGCTCAAGCTAGGGTAATCAGGATGATGCAAACAGTGGGAAGGGCTCACTGCCCTGAGTGCATACCTAGCATCTTGGACAGATGTGAACTTGAGGTGGCTATACCCTGCTGCCATTCACGCTGCTGTGACTATTCCCTCCACCAGAAGCACAGCACCCCAGAGAAGCCCTGCAGCTCCCTCTAGCTCTGTTGGACACCACGGATCCTTCAAAGTACCTTTTCTGGTGGTCCCCAGCATGGCTACCCTGGAGCCACCTTTAAAACAGGGTTGGCACCATAGACTAAGCAGTGTAAAGTAGTTATATTGGCCTGGGCCTGAGCTTGTTTTTCTGCAGATGTACTGCTGGTTTTAACAGGGGGAATAAGAAAATGGGGTAACTATCCCCAGGTCTGGAGAACTCCCTCTCTGGGACCCAATGCAGAGCAGATGGAAACAGTGCCAGGGAGGTAGGACAAAAGCAGATCCAAGTACAAAAAGAATTGCCAATGTGTGGAGCTGGGCCCTGGTGAAAATGCAGCTTCTGCAATGCATAAATACCAGCTGGTACTTAAAGATAGGTAGTTGATGCTAAAACAGTCAAAGAGGCTCAGAAAATAACCTCTTTACATTTCAGGTTAATAATATAGAGTATATACTGCAAACATGCTGTTTCGATAATCTCCACACACTGTGTAAGTACCTACCAACTTCTCAGCCTCTCTGTAGTCTCTCCAGCTATTATGGTATATTAGCTCATTTTGTCTCCAATGGAGGCTTTGGCTTGTTCCCCCTCCCCCCTCACTTTGTACCAGTTTAAGTCAGATGTAGCCGCATTACAGTCAGTAGAGTTACAATGGTGTAAATTAGAAGAAACTGAGAGGAACATCAGGGCCATAGAAAAAGCTGAACTTGAGCCAAGGTAATTTCTGTGTTTCTGCAGGCTACCCAGTCCTAGGAGGCTACAGCATTAGGCTGTCAGAAACATTTCCACATGCCAGGGATTGCTTCATAACTCTGTGAATTGCAATTACAAGGAGGGGAGGCTATGTGAGCTCATTATTTTAAGTAACTGAGAAAGTGGCCTGTTTTGTATCTGCTTGTTTTCTGTTTTCTCTCAATGTCAGTGAAACTAAGAGCATGACTAAAGCAGTCAAGATTTCGTCCTGATTTTGGACTTTTGCATGCAGGTGATTTAATTGTTGGACATTCAAAACCAGACTGGATTTTTTCTTTCGATTTTCTTTTTCCTTTGATATAAATATTTTGATTTTCTGATTGCATTTAACAGCATATTCCTTATAATACTCTCATAATATTGAAGACAGGATCATAAATGACTATAGACAGTGTTATCATGGAAAGCCCAAAGCAAATAAAAGACTTCACTGAAGTGGCATAAAACATACTGAGAATGTTGATGTATATGAAGAGTTATAGTGTGTAGTATTTATTGCATAGTATTTATTGCACAGAAGCTGCACAAAACTCATTTTCTTTGCTAAAATGCATGATTTCTACCTTTGATTAGTGTTTCCCTTGTTTCCTCATTTTCCAGTTTTCTTCTGAATAATGGAGACAGTTATGGCAGTTGCCTGTTACTGAATTTGTTCATTTAATATAAGACCTTTACTCAATAAAAAGCATTTGTCTCAGTATTCTGCAGTAATCTGATAACAATGAGTCACGCTGAATATTATAGAGTGCTTACATTTAATTAAGCACTGACCATTTGTACTTCACAGTCTAGTGTTCCCTGTAGTCCTAAAGCAGAAAAGAAAGTCCTTTAGGAGCTGTGCCAATCTTTCCTTATTTCCTTCACTCTGTTCCTGCCTTTCTCTGGATGCAATTATATGAACAAATAAAATGGCTTTACTGAACTCCCCTGTGTGACAGACCTCTTTCTGCTGATAAAGCTAGTTGTGTGGGCCATAATTAAAAGGGAATTCTAATATTTAACTAAACTTAATAGACTGTTGCTTTGGAGCTTTTGTGGGGGTTATGAATTCAATAGAGATGAGCCAGGCTATTCAAAAACATGTTGAATAGTCATTGAACCATTATAGCCACTTGCTGAAAGAGCTGTGAAATGTATTAGCTGGTAACGACATATTTTTGTGCTGTGCGTGCTTTTCTATTCACTGGAGATGATGGGCATGACTAAATGTGATTCAGAACATGATTGTGAACTACCTACAGTATTATATTTTCAGGAGGGCCTGAGGGAGTAGTATCCATAAGCATAAGTATCATTAAAATGCACTTGTAGTCAATAAAATGTGTAACTGGAGTTGGGAGGTTCCACGTTATATTTTACTCAGTGTCTTCCAGATCAAATAGGCCATATGTATTACGATTTCATAGGAAAAATAATTCTGGTTCAGACACCCAGCTTACAGAAGATGAAGTGTTCATGGGCCCACATTTCAAGAAGGATGGGGTCAGAAGGATGGACCCCTTCTGGAAAAGACCCTTGTATGTAGAATCTGAGACCTTAGGACACACACATGAGAGTCATGAATCAAGCCCGTATCCGCCAGATTGTGGCTTTGAGAATCAAAAGGCACTGTCCATTGTCACAGCCCACTGTATTAAGGAGTAGAGGGAAGATATAAACTAGTTCCCTGCACCCATGACACAGAAAAGATAGCCTGTGCCGAAGTATTAGGGTTCAGGTGTGTGGTGCAGAATCTGGGAACCTGAGAGTTACAGCTGGCCCTTGACTGAGGGAGGCTAGGGTCAGGTGAGTGCTTGGTTGAAGGCCTGCCGGTACAGGGACTACTCCTCTGACAGAGTCATTTCTGGCACAGCCAGTCCATTGGAAGAGTCAAAGAGTTGGGCTTTGATGGACCCCAGTGGAAGAGGACATTGGATTCTCCCTGGAATGGAACATTCTGGTCCTGCCTTGATGATTCAGGCTGGCCACTCTGGTTGTGTTGTTCAGTGTAATCATGGCTGAGGGAGAAAATAGAGGCACAATCTCTAGGGCTATATCTATGCAGCAGTTATTTTGGAATAACCGATGCTATTCCGAAACAATATAGTCTGTGTCTACATATCAAGCAATTATTTTGACAGTATGTTGAAATAATGTCAAGCTGGAGGACTTCTTACTCCAATTCCTGTAACCCTCATTTTACAAGGAGTAAAGGAAGTCAGAGAATGCTCTAACAGACTTCCTGCTGCATAAACAATGCCAAACGTTGAAGTAAGCTATTTCAACTTAAGCTACGCAATTGACGTAGCTCAAGTTGCACAGCTTATTTCAGCTTTAGCCCTGCTGTGTAGATGCGCCCTAACAGTTTTGGGAACCAGGGAGTTGCTGTGGCACTTTGTTTCCAATGGCCTGACCTAAAGAGTTGTTAGGAGATAGGGGTCCTTGACGCAGGGCAGACTTCATTTCCTGAAGGGAATGACTTAGGCCTTCTCTGTCAAGGGGAGGAAAGAAAACAAGTCTTGTCAGAAAGGCTAAGAATGGAACCTGGCCTGCAGGAAAGCCATGCACGATCAGACACAGTTGCTCCATGTTGGGAATCCTGGCCTACTCTCCACTTAGCATACATTGCTGCTAGGAACCTTATGGGTACTACAGCTGAGTATAGGGGGTGGGACAGCTCCAGGTCCATCTGTAAGCTGTTTTGGAGAGAAATAGCTTAGCTGCTGGCCTCCTGGCTGGAAGGGAAGGGCCATCTGGAGATGACTCACCCCATGAGTGCTGGAGAATTTGGCTTCAGAGCAGAAGGCTGCTCAGCTTCTACGTACAACCTGGGGAGAAGGAAAGGGACTGCTGCTGGGAAAATAGCCAATCAGGAGACAGGGACAGTTTAACAGGAGCCAATGGAATAGCTATGAGGAAGATGCCACTCTTGGCAACTGCAGGATAAGCCTATAAAATAGGGCCACTCCTGGTCCCAAGCACCCATGAATCCAGTCAAAGTGGGCTCAGCCCTCAAGCTGGGAATCCTGAAACTAGGACACTCATATTTGGTGGAACATTTGAAAATCTAGGGCTTCGGTCTTAACCACTAGAATCCTCTGCCTGCTGGATACAGAGCATAATGCTGACCCAAGGAAGATATTTAAAATGTGAGCAAGCTCTGCTGCAATTCGTAGACCAGTGTGGTAGACAATAACAGGGTTTAAAAAGAAGCTAGATAATTTCATGGAGGTTAGGTCCATAAAAGGCTATTAGCCAGGGGATAGAAATGGTGTCCCTGGCCTCTGTTTGTCAGAGGCTGGAGAAAGATGGCAGGAGACAAATTGCTTGATCATTGTCTTCAGTCCACCCTCTCTGGGGCACCTGATGCTGGCCACTATCGGCAGACAGGCTACTGGGCTAGATGGACCTTTGGTCCGACCCAGTACAGCCGTTCTTATGTTCTTATGTAGACGATGAATGATGTTCTGTTTAGAGATTTCATTGACTTTTAATTGTTTCATATTGATTTCACATGCCTGGAGAACTCTCCAACAGAATATCTTCCTCAAGAGTGAGTCTGAACATAAACATGCACCAAAAAAACCCTCTTCTCCAAATCTACTTGAACTTCAGAGTGAGCTCTTCAAGGGAATTGATTCATCCCATATCTTCTGTTGCTTTGTCTGAGGCTAAAACAGTTACAACATCTAGACTTACAAGGCTAGATCCTCAGCTGGTGTAAATCCACATAGTCCGATTGATTTCAGTGGGTGCTAGTGTATACCACTCTTGATCTGGAATGAAGATTTGTTTTCTATGGGATACAGAGCCTATTATAATTTTTTGGATATAGAGCACATTTCAGAAATAGCACAAAGTATCTATTACATATTAACTGTGCATCTCTCACCATAGACTTCAGACGGGACAGCATGTCTAGTAGGAAAATATATAATTTACAAATATTAGGGGCATGGGTAAAATGTTAAGTTATCTATAAATAACTTCAAAGGGTTTGTGCGGTTTCTGCCCTTATTCTTTTAGAAATATTTGAGCTGGAGGTAAATGAAAACGTGCAGCTGACTGTCAATGACAGGCAAATGCCTAAAGTGGAGTACATGGAAATCAAGATAGACGATTACAGTAAGTAGCTTTTTTCTCCTTGTTTAATTATTGTGGTGAAATAGCACAATCATCTTGCCTGGATTGGCAGGAGGAAAAATTACTGTGGCTCTCAGTAATGTTGTCCTGTTTGGGAGGTAATTTGTTAGGGTATGTTGCATAGAAGGAAGTTATTTTGGAGACAGGTGCTGATGAGGAAGGAGGAGACAGAAAGAGAAAAGGATACAAATTAGATTTGATATTCAAAAAAATCATACTAGGAGGTGACCTAATATGGCTCAGCAGTACTACAGGGTGTGTTGGCTCAAACGTGACTGGTTTATTAGTTAAAATAGGTTGGAAATGGAATATTGCATGTGCTTGCTAGCTACAACTGTGGCAGTCTCTGAGCACAGAGCAATAAATTGCAGTAATTCAAGCAATAGCCAGGATACAGGCATGTAAGAGATTTTTAGTCTCAGTAACTTAAATTTGTTCATGAAACCCTGTAATTTGATAGAGGTTGAGAAAAGCAGATGTTTAAGAAAAGCAAAGTAAGATCTTATTTGCAGAAGAGAAGAGTGAAAATGGAACAGTTTAAAAATGCAGAATGCAGGTAGCCCTATTTTTTTTGGACACTTCTTAATTAAATATTCTTTTCACATCTTGTGTGCAAATGAGGCTAGACTAAAGGAAGAGGATGAGGGCAAAGATACAAACAAATGTACATAATATAGACAAAGTTAGAGCCAAATATTTCCTGCCAGCCTCCTTAGCTGCACCTACAACATTTGTAAGAGCATCTGTTTTATTACATGCAAGATCCACATTTGAAATCCCAAAATATGTAATGACTCCTACAGATCTTAATCTCTGCATGGCGTTTGTGTGGTTATACTTGACAATTCAGAAGCAGTTAAGGAAACTGGGCTAAATATATGTTCCTTGATACTTCCCCTACGATGGGATTGGTCATAGTAGAGATTTTCTTCAAATGCACAATGGTGAAAACAACCTTTCAAATACAACATAGAATGACACAGAAAAAGGCATGAGAGAGGCAGTGTTACTGCATAATCTGGACTAGTGAGTGGTGTTATTAAACACAAGGCCAAAAGCCGAGTCTCTGCAGCTATCTGAACACTGCAGTAATTACCTAAAATGCTCTGCCTCTAACATTGTTGTTATGAAGAGAAATTGATTCATAGAAAAAAAGGAAAACAGAGCTGTGCATTTCCTGAACATTTTGGGCAAGGACAGAAGATAAGTGACAGCCTATCATTAAGATCCTGCTCTGTCCAGACCACATGAACCATTTCCTAATCATATTTTGAATTTACTATAAATAACTCAAGAACTGTTGCTGGCATTGATAACTGCAGTTGTTGGTGAAAGTATCTTCTGCTGATCTTCACTAACCTGTTTTTGTGTGTAATAAATACAAGCTGATTGGATTTTTTTCATGTGCCTTTGCCATGTGTCCAAGGCCTGCCCTAAAGGCGTCCGAGTCATGGGAGCAGTGTGTGCCACGTTTTATGTATATTTAAAGTCAAATAGTGTGTCTCTAACTGTCCCTGGGCCATTGCAGTCCATTAGCATTCAGATGGAATAAGTAATTAGACTGAATATCAGAAAATGATTGCAATATAAACCACTTAAATCTAGTGGTTAATCTGTATATTAATTGTATTGAAAATCCTGCTAATACCAATTTAATTGCCATGCCTTTGGTAATCTGGATTATAGTTAATATTTTAAAGACAAATGGTGTCTCCTTAATGCAGAAATCGTTTGTATGGGAGCAATTTCATATACCGATTGGTGGTCAAGAAGTGCATTTCAGAGCAGTTACATGAAGTTTTTGGGGAGTGTCATAGCACAACTGGGGCTGACTCAGCTGTCACATGCACTGATCTTATACCAATGTAACTCTGTCAACTTGGAGTTACTCCTGCTTTGTATTATACCAGAGAAGTGAGATCAAAATTGAGGGGCCCAGAATTTAGTATTAAGAGGCAAGTCCAGCCCCTAAGTATCTTGAAGCCCCTACACCAGAAAAATTCTAGCTGTCAGATCATCAACTATATTTTAATTGGCAATTGTACTTTCACATTCCTTTTGTCTTAAGCTATCATTACCCTCTTTTTTTTTTCTTTTTCTATTTTGCTTCCCAAAAATATTGATTCCTGGCAGTGTCACTCATCCAGCTGCCTAAAGGGAAAATAATAGCTATTGCCAGATGTTAATTGCATGTTGTGTAAGTGATGCATGACTAAATAGCTCACTCTAGGTTTAAATTTTTTGTTACCTCAGCTATAAAGGTCTGGATTTTATCCTTAATTACATCTGTGATTTTAGGGTTTTACTTACCAGAGCATCGTATAAAATGCTGTTTTATTTCTGCTGCTAAGTAGCCACAACGCTGTAAAAATCTGTTATAGTTATCTCAACATTCCCCTTGTTGTTATTTGTTACTTTTGCCTAGAATTGCCAATGCAAATCTTAAAGCCAGCAACCTTTGCGGACACCATACACTATCCTTTGCTACTGGTTGTGTAAGTTTTCTTATTTTTATTTCTAAACTGTAATTCTTATTTTTATTTGTTAAGACCAAAAAGAAATCAAGATCAGAGCTCTAATATGCAAGGTGCAATAGAAATAGAAAATAAAAGATGATTCCATGTAAGGCCCATATTCTGTAAAGAATTACACACATGCTGAACTATACACACTCTGGGTATGTCTAGACTACATGGCTCCATCGACGGAGCCATGTAAATTAGTTTACCCAGCACAGGCAAAGAAGCGGAGATTTAAATAATCCCCGCTTCATTAAAATAAACATGGCCGCTGCGCTGTGCCGATGATCAGCTGATCCGGCACAGCGTGGTAGTCTAGACGCAGATCGGTCGGCTGGGGAAGCCTTTGCTGACCGATCCTGTAATCCTCGTTTCGTAAACCTCTGATAGTTTACATGGCTCTGTCAACGGAGCCATGTAGTCTAGACATACCCTCTGAGTATTGATATTGACTTCAAGAAACACACTACATTTAACAGAGATCTCTTATACCTAGTCAAGTGCTGTGTTTGATACTGACTACAGACAATACTCTCTGCATGCAAGTCCAACTTCTTTAGACTGAGGACACATAGACAAAGCAAGTAAGCTTTCATGGCAGCGGGTCTCAGAGCCTAAGGTCTATTGACTTTGGCTCATGCAATAGCCCTAAAAATAGCTGTATAGACATTCAAGCTGAGTCTGGAGCTATTTTTAGTGCCAAAGTGTAAACTCAGGTCTGTAGACCCAGGCTCTAAGACTTGTGGCTGTGAAACCCTACTTGCCATGTAGACGTACCCAAAAGATCTGTATAGTTAAAGCCAGAGTGATAGCAAACCAAACCCACTAGGAGCCAGCTATTTCAGGATAATAAAGGAGATGTCTTTAAAAGGAGAGGAGGGCTGCCTATGAGAGAACAAGTCACATGAAAACGTCAGCATTTTTAAAAAAAATTCTAATCCTGCTACCTTTCAGGGTCAGCTACAGAGTTTTTCAATCTGCTACTGAAATGTGAAACTTCCTTCAAGATCTTCAAATAGATTTTTCACTGAACAATTTGTGTCATCTCTCTACCACACATAACAGTGCTGGCTCCACTCCCCTCTTCCAAATTGGTTATTATCTCTCTCAACCCCGGCTACAAACACAACAAATTGCCTCGGGCAAAAATAAACACAGTCTTAATGAAAATTCACTTTAAACCTAGCAGAGAGTTGTGAAATCAGCTTTTTCTCGATATTGCACCTATTAGGAAGGACATTTTTATTTAAACCCCTGCACATCCCTCCCTCCCATGGCTCCTGAATATTATAATTTCAGAGAATCTCTTAACATGACTGGCTGAGCCCACTCACATTAGAATACTATATTATGGGATGCATAGTCTTCCTGCTGTTGAAGAATAGTTTATATGTTTACTTTTTAATGGGCTATTATAGCCTCTGCAGCAGCTTCAGCCTCAAGTTAGTCTGCCATGTGGTCCTAGAAATAGAAGTTAATAACCAGCCACCTCTGTCTAAAAGTAGTTTTCCTCATCTCAGCACCAAACTGTTAATGGCATTTATCCCAACAATTGAGCTGTCCTTACAGCTAGGTCACTGAATCACTTAGCCCCAGATCCTTAAAGATTTTTCAGGTTCCTAACTCCCATTGATTTCAAATAGGGATGCACTTTGCCAAGAGAAAGGCTTCTGATATGGGAATGAAGGAGGCAAAGATGCATTGCTAATGAATTCCAAAACATCACCCTGCAGCTTCTTTCAATGAAGGACAAAAGCACTGCAGTAAACACGCTACCACATCACAAAATTACTTCAGCAAAAACATACTTCATTATACAAGTGCTTGAGGAAGATTGGTACTCATCAAGCTAACAACACTTGATTAGGCTGCCTCTGAAAGTGGATGCTCCTGGGCCTTTGTGGAGCGAATGCAAATAACTTAAGACATCTGCATGTTAAAATATCGGGAGAAGTTTTGTTGTGTCTCTGGGAGCCCAAAAAAGCAAGGAAAGTGGGTGGAAAGGTCATTATCCTGAGTCATTTAGAACTAATTCAGCAAAATGTCCTGTCCCCTGCTCACCCTATTTCTGTGGATGCATTGTAATTTCTGCTTTGTGTATTTGTGTGGTCATGTGTGTTTCTTAAGACCATTTAGGACTGAGTATCATCAAATAGCATGCAAGCTAAGGCCTTGATCTTAGAATGAGAACTTCATTGATGGAACCTAGTCTGGGAGTGCAGGGCAGGATATGGGGGAGAAGTCTGCCTGCGCAATTCTCTTCCACATTCAGAATTTCTCTGAGAGGGAGCCCTGTTCGGCTGATCACTCTGCCCACTCCAGAGTTGCAACCAGAGCTAAATTATTATAAAAGTCAACTGTTTTATCTTCAGTTTTGTTTTGTAATTTGCCTTTCACTTGTATCTGTTTTAAAAATAGATACATCAAGTGATATTCTTGAAAGAGAGAGTAAGTTTATGATGGGTGACAGGGGTCTAACGGCTCCAAAGGCATTACTTCCCCCAAACTTCCTGCAGTGTTCCCAGGCGAGGCCCTTCCAGTTAATCTCTGCCAGCAACCCTGCCAGAGTTCAGCCCCTTCCAACTGGAGGGACGAGGGAGAAAGGGGAAAAAAACGTATATTGGGGCCAGTTCCTCAAGCTGTGCATAATGGCATAACAGTATTAACTTCAGTGAAGTTATGTCACTACACCAAGTTGAGGATCTGGCCCATTTATAGGGATGCTTCAGAGTTACACAAATCATGGTGGCAGCTGCCATATAAGAATCTAGATAAATAGCCAGGAAAACCTCCCTGCATAGAAATCATAGAATCATAGACTCCTAGGTCTGGAAGAGACCTCGAGTCCAACCCCCTGGCCAAAGTAGGATCAACCCCAACTAAACCATCCCAGTCAGGGCTTTGCAAGCCAGGACTTAAAACTTTAGGCATGGCGATTCTACCACCTCCATGGGGAACTCATTCCCGTGCTTCACCACTCTCTTAGTAAAATAGTTTTCCTAATATCCAACCTAGACCTTCCACACTGCACCACTGCTTCTTGTTCTGTCATCGTTAACTACTGAGAACAGCCTCTCTCCATCCTTTATGGAACCCCACCCCTCCTTTCAGGTAGTTGAAGGCTGTTACCAAATCCCCCCTCATTCTTCTGTAGACTAAATAAGACCGAATCCCTCAGTCTATGTCTAAACTGCAGGCTTCTTTTGGAAGAAGCTTTTCTGGAAGAGATCTTCTGAAAAAAATCTTCCGAAAGAGAGCGTCTACACTGCGCAAGTGTTGAAAAAGCGATCTCCTTTTTACCTCCCTGTAACAATTCTGTATTAAGACACATCTCATGACTTTCTTGTTAAATCTCTGGGCATGCATGTGGCATTGGTGCACACTGGTCTTCAAATTCACCTTCAAAAGGAAAGACTACACAGCCACTTTTAAAAGGAGATTATGGGACATGAAAAGTCTCTAGTCTTTGGCAGCCTTGACATTGTTCCATTGAGCATTAGTAAGATGGTTTGTATCTGTTCTTGTTTCAGTGATGGAACGCCTGGTAGCCAAAGTGTAACAGAGAAGTTTGAAGTGAATTGGGAAAGCGTACTGGTCAGCTCTCACAATGCAATTGTGATGAAGTTTGATGGCCGTGGTAGCGGATTCCAAGGCACTAAGTTGTTACATGAAGTTAAGAGAAGATTGGTCCTTCTGGAGGAAAAGGATCAGTTGGAAGCTCTCCGGTGAATGACACTGTCCAAATTGCATTTAATATTGAAATGTGTTCTCAAAGGCCCTTCATCTGTATCTGGACACTAGAAAATACTTTAAGGCCCTGATCCTGCAAAGAGAACTGCGTCAGTAAGGCTATGTCTACACTGCTCTACTGTATCCAAGGAACGCATCTGCTTTTTCGGAACAGTTTCCAAAAAAGAAGACGTGTTCTTTCAGCATCCTCATTGTATTTCTCATTGTATGAGGAACAAGAGATGTTCCGAAAGAAGAGGTTTTTCTGAAATTTGGCCCCATGTAGATGGGCCAAATTTTGGAAAAGCCTTTTCCAGAAAAAAAAGATACTCAAATTGTGTATCTTTTTCTGATATAACTCTGCAGTCTAGACATAGCATGAGATCCCATTGAAGTCAACAGGGATCTGTGAAGCAGGGGTGGGAAAAGTCTCCTTACACAATACTCTTCCAGGATCAGGGTCTCCCTGAGAGAAAGCCCTGTTCATCTGGTCACCCTTCCCCCTGCAACCAAACTGACCTGTTGTTATTGTTAAAGTCAATTAATTGTTTTGTCTCTCTAGGTACCACTCAGCAATGCATCTCCTATTTGAGTGCTCTTATGTAAACAATTGAAGAAACATGATAAATTGAAAGGATAAATTCACTGCAATATATTTCAATATGGGAAGTAAAATATCAGCTAAATAATAATTCCATGTACCCAAAAAACTTATCTTCTGATATTAACATGAATAGAGGCTGAGATAAAGGGCTACCTTTGAAAAGTCCAAGGGTCTGTTTTGAAGTATTTGGGCAAGTAAGAGAAGGAGAAATCTTAAAAAATGGTTGGGCTAGATTGAAGGCCAGTTCAGTTGTTAAGAGAAAGAATTGTTTGAGTCCTGGGAAGTGTTGCATAGAAGTGTTGCAAAACCACCAGTGTAATGCATGCGATGTGATTACAGAAATAGCATAATATATAGGAATGGTGCTTCCACGCCAGTATATAGCTAGTATGGTTTATAAAAATATATACCTGTCTCAGAAGAATAGCCGTGTTAGTCTGTAACTTTAAAAAACAGTGAGTGATCCTGTGACACCTTAGAGAACAAAAATATATAGGATCATGAACTTTTGTGGGTAAAACCCACTTCCTCAGCTCATTTTGGGTGCATCTACACAGCACCCTTACCTCAAAATAAGCTACGCAATGCAAATTGAGTAGCTTATTTCAATGCTATTTCAAAATAGCTTATTTTGAAATTTGGCACTGTCTACAGAGCACTGTTCTGAAAAGTCCCTTATCTCTTGTGCAATGAGGTTTACAGGGATGTTGGAATAGCAAGCCCGTTATATTTCGATAGATGTGTAGATGTAGCCTTTGAGTGAAAATAACAGAAACCAAGATAGATATAAGAGCAAAAGACGTGCCTGTCAAATGTAGGACCTGGTGTTGTGCGTGAGTGTATCTGAGGTGTGACACACTCACCCAGGAACCTACCCCTACAACAAACTCCATTGACAATGCTGTCCACATACTTATACAGCTGACACCATCACAGGACCTAACCACATAAGCCACAACATCAGGGGCTCATACAACTGAACATCCTCTAATGCAGGGGAGGAGAACGTCAGGCCCAGGGGCCAGATGTGGTCCCCAGCTTGCCTGGATCCGGCTCCCTCTGCATTGGGGAACCTGCGCTATCACTCCAGCCCTCCACCCCCATGCATGGCACTGGGGCAAACAAAATCTACTAGGCTGGACCCCACTAGGCTCTGGTGTGCAAGGGGAATATGTTTCTCCCTCTCAGACGGGCACCACATCAGTGAGGGGTTTTTTGTGTGCAGCCCTCGACTTATTTTTCTGTGGGTCAGTGGCTCCTGACCCAAAAAAGGTTCCCCACCTCTGCTCTAATGTGATATATGCCATCAAGTGCCAGCAGTGTCCCTCTGCCATGGCTAGACCAGACAGTCTCTATGACATAGGATAAATGAACACAAATCAGACATCTGAATTGGTAACACATGAATCTGATGGGGAACATTTTAACCAGCTGGGTCGCTCAATCATGGATTTAAAAGTAGCCATTCTTCAACAAAGGTATTTCATTCACCAATTACAGATAGAGGCTGTAGAACTGGAATTCATCTACAAGTTTGACGCTATTACCCTGGACTTGAATAAAGACATTAACTGGTTGATGCATTACAAAGCCAATTTCTCCTGCCTTTAACATCTGCATTGCCACATCAAATGCAATGTATGGGACTCATCAACAAGACAGTCACTGAATATACACTTGGTCTCTAAGGAAGTGGGCATGCATATGGATGATTGTAGCTAATGTTTATTATAATAAATAAACAAGCAGCCTTTATTAAAGTAATAATCTAGCATCAGTGTGGTGGATTAGGGTGTTTAAGGACCAACAGAAAGATTATTTAGATTAACATTTGGGGGACTATAGTAAAGATGATTAAGAATGTTTCTGAAAAACAAACAATTTTTTTCTTTTATTATTAGTTTTACCAATAACTTATAATGAATTATTTTCTTATAATGATCTGTTTGTTGCACAGATAGAGATTTTGGCTAACTGAAATATTTAAACATTGTTAAATGAAGTGATCTGACCCTGCTTATGTTCAAGTCCTATCCACTTACTTTACTGTAAAAAAAATTGTCCCTTACTGCTAGCACTGTAGAGTGATTCCATACACAGAAGAGCCACTGGAGCTAAATAGCAAGAGGGGCAAAAGAATACTGCTTGATTCTGAGTGCCTGGATTAGTTTTGCAGCACCTGCAGTTGGGAAAAAAAATCTCTTCTGATTTGTAAAGTGAAAATTTTTTTTATATGGAAGTCATTGCAATAATGATGACCCTGTACTGTTTGTAAAGTAACTGTTCTAAGTATATCACACCTTAAAAATGCCATTGGAACTATGTATATATGACAGTTTTCTTGTTGATTCTACGGGCAATGTTTTGCTTCCATGATCCAATCAAAATGATGAGAAATTAGGGTATACTGGGTATATTTTGGCTCATAGGAGATGTGTTCTGCATGATATACCTGGAATAGTCCATATCAGGGGATGGGTTAAAAGAGCAAGAACAAATCAAAGAGAAAGAGACATGAAAGCAGTAGCCCTCATCATGGGTTTAGATTGGCCTACATAATTTGCTTCTGTCTTGGATAACACAACCATCCTAAACTCATGCTGATAAAATACTCAAGCCACACAATGCCATCATCTGTTCCATATATTTAACAGTGTCTTTCTTGGACTGAACTATTTCTCATCTGTTTCATATTTTAGGACAATGTTAAAAGAACATTATATTGATAAAATGCGAGTTGCTGTATTTGGGAAGGTAAAATTTTCCTATGATCCCTGCCCTCTGGTAGTGTGCTGATGTGTTTAAACACTTGTGCTTAATCATGATTTATTGAGTGTTCCTGTGGTGATGGTTTTTTTTTTTAACATGGATTGCTTGTTGCTTGGATGAGAGCTTTCTTTTTTTTCAGCCCATTTATCAGTGTTTCTTTTGAAATTATCTGGAAAAGGGAAAAAAAATCTATTAGATATGTCAGATATGAGAAGGGAATTGTTAGAAGAAAATATTATTTGATATAGGTAGGGTGATAAAGTGAGTGAAAAGTGCTGAACAAATAATAGAATTCCTGTCTCAGGATTGCTTCCCAATTCATAACAGTCACTGAAATGCTAATATCAGTTTTGTTATTGTTGCTGTTTCTGAAGCGGGCAAGGAAAGGCGATGGGTTCTTGTCTTGGTACCAGTTCATTCAGACCTGAGGGGAAAACATACTAAGGTTGACAATGTACAATAAATGTACCATTGTAGCTTAGAAAACTCAGACCTTTCACCAACAAAATAGGAGCTTTGCCCCGGCAGGGGCTGCCAATTTAGGCTCTAAGGCTTTGTCTACACTACGAGTTTTTGTCGGAAGAAGCAATGCAAATGAAGCACTGATTAGCATTTTGTCAAGCTTCATTTGCATAATCTATTCTGAGCCGTTTTTGCACAAGAGTTTTTTGCGCAAAAACAAGCAGTGTGGCCGTGGCTGTATTGCACATAAGGATCATTTGCATTGTCTCGTCAGGCAAAAGCTCGTAGTGTAGACATAGCCTAAGTGTAATCAGTGTGAATCCAACTATAAATTCTGGTTCAGATAGATGAGACACCTCTAGCATCTTTGCTGGCATACTGGGTATTGCAGTAACCAAATTCAGCACTAGTGACTGATGTTTATTAGAGGATGTTTCAGTTTTACAAACTCTGCAACAAACAAGACTGTATATAACCATCCAATTACAGAGCCCAATCCTGGACACAGTTATTTTGATGACTGAAATGGTCCTCATGGACTAGATCATTCTTCTCCTTTGGAAGAGCATGTAGGAGGGAGCTGTGGGGCAAGTGAGAATGGCCAAGAGGAACTAGGGGCTTAGGAAATGGAGCCCACCCTTGAACCAGGCAGTTCCCCAAAGATCTGGGGAGGCTTGGCCATCTGTAAGGACCCATCTCTGCCCACAGCTCTACACTCTCAGGGACTGCCATGGCCATTGCTTTCCTTAGAGACCCTGTCTGAGGGTCTCTAACGAACTTCCCATGCATTTTTCTCACACCTCTTCCTGCACAGAAAGATGCCTGATAGCTTTACACAAGGGGGAATGTCCCCTCTTACAAACACACCTACAGGCATATGTGCTCAGCTTTAGCCAGTGGGTAGCCCACTCACACAAGATGTGGGAGACCCAGGTTCAAATCCCACTTCCTCTGACTGGTGTGGAGCAAGGATTTGAATCCAGGACTCCTGCCTCTCAAGTGAGTGCCCTAGTCAGGGGGGACCTGAGGAATGCTGGAGTGGGTCTCATTCAGTGGCTGAAGCTGGTTGGGTGTGCGGACAGTGAGGGTTAGGGATGATGTGGCTGCCTCTCTGCCCCACAGCTGGCTCTGGGGGAGACAGATGTTTTGGCATGGGGAGCTCCATAAAAATGTGTCCCACACACCCCTCTCCATTCCCCTTCCCTGCTAGGTGCTTGGGTTTATCCCGCTCTCCGGCCGAGGAGGAGGAGGATTGGGGACCTAACCCTGTTCCACCCACTCTCCCACTGCGGAGCTCGGTCGGAGTGCAGGCTATTATTCTGCTCTGCCTAGTGCTCCAGCTGTAGAGCAGGGTAGGGGTGCTTGCCCTGCTCTGCCCACTAGGCACTCCTGCCAGAGAGTTGGATCAGGGCATAGGGAAAGCCCCCTACTCGGCTCCCTGACAGGAGCTCTGGGTGAATGGAGCAGAGCATGGCCTGAGGGGCAAGCCCCTGGACCCCAGAGCCAGCACTGGGTCGGATGGGCCTGGATACTAAGTGGGTGGACTGCAGTGTATCCAGGCCCGCCTGTGGCTATACCCCTGAGTCCTAGGCCTGACAGAGAGACAGCCGGAATGACTGTGGTGTGGGAGACCCAAATTCCAGTCCCTCTTCCAATGACCATTTAATAGGCTATACAAAGTGAGCAGCTTCCATAGGAGAGACTGAGAGAGACCCATTCCAGACAGACAACTCCCAGCAATTTGGGTGCTAACACCTCACCTCCTCCTCCACCTCTATTCCAGGTGAGGCCCCAGATGAGATAGAGGGGGGACCACCCTGCTTGAGGATCCTGCCTGGGCAGCAGGACTGAGGAAGCTGTGCACATGCCCTCATGCCCAGATGCTGATTATAGGTGCCACAGGACTTTGTCAGTGGCAATTTAGTGACCTCAGGACTTAGGCACCTGCATGGGCAGGCAGCAGCTGAGCAGAGTTTAGGGAGCTAAATTTTGGACTTAGGCACCTAAATTCCTTTGTGGATCTATCCCAAAGTTACCTCAATGCATAAATAATTGCAGGATCAGGCCCAGAGTTAGGACTCAGGCTTCCACTGTATACGAGTGCAAAACTCCAGCTGAAGCAAAGGGGACGATTTGTCTGTTTAGAGCCTGCAAGAATGAGGCTTTAGGTCCTGGCTAGTTTATTAACTCTTGGTGGAGTTGTTTAGCACCCTATGTCCCATTTCTTAGAGTATGTATTGAGAACACCACTGCCCCGCATGCACAGGGGCATAGATAATTCTGGCAGGTTTGCCAGAATGCACCTCACTGTGTCCCACTTAGCTACCAGCCCTTTCATTGTGAAGCAGGGTTGAATGGTTTTTATCTAAATGAACACCTTGCTCTGCTGTGCCTGGTCCTGGTGGTATTTTGCCTCATCTAAAGTGAGGTGGGAAGGAGGGTGTGCACTTAACACCCAAGCTAAGGCTTTATCTTGTATTAGTTGGGCTCAATTTACAGCGAATTCCCACTGATCCACAGCCAGGTCTCAAGGTGTGTCTACATGGCAGTCAGAGATGTGCTGGTAGCCCATGTAGACACAGACAAGCTTGCTTTGATCTAGCTAGCTAAACTAGCAATTCAGCCACAGCAGTTTGGACCAGGCAGGGTTGTATAATCCATGCTTGGGTTCACGTTAGCAAGCTAGCTAGATCAAAGCAAGCTCGGCTATGTCCACACATGCTGCAAGCATACTTCTGACCAAAGTGTAAACATACCCTTAGACTATCAACATTCCAGGCAGGGAGCCGTTTCTTTGATGCATGTCTGTACGGGGTGGGTTTGGCATCTCTAGGTACAACACAAATTAAAATTAGCAAAGAGACTGTATGCTATTTGTCATAAGGCACCCACAGGGTTCTTGGTCTGCCTCTGCTACTTGCTAGCACAGCATTGCAATGCTTCAGGTTGGCCCTTGTTCTGACTAACGCTGCGTGAGCATTGTGCATGAGGTGACTGCTTTTGTGCCACCAGTTTCTACATTCTCACTGATGCATGTGGCTGTTTGTCTGTCTGTACTCTAGGATTATGGGGGCTATCTGAGCGCTTTTATTCTTCCGGCTGGTGAAGAGAATCAAGTGTTCACTTGTGGAGCCTCTCTTTCTCCATTGACAGACTTGAAATTATACGGTAAGCACCACTCCCTGGAGGCCACAGAATACCAGCTCTCAGCCACAACCAACATTCCCACCCTCTCCTTACTAGGGCTTCCTTCTCTTTGTTTCTTAAAAAGCTTGCCTCTGCCTTTCTAGTGTCTTTGGTGGTGTTCGGTTTGAGCCAGAGTGTAAAACCTTTACTCCATTGGTAAACAGTTCTGCTAAGTCACTCAAAATATTTCCTTCACTTCAGTGGGATGAGTCCCCTGCATTAATAAATAGGAGCCCCACAACAAGGCCTCAGATAGTAGGCTTCTTAAGGTAGGACCCTGTCCTTCTGGCTCTTATACCACGCTGAGCCCACACAACAGTGGTAATGACTGCGAAGTGCAGCCATCTGCAGTGCCACTACAATACAGCAGACATTCTGGAAGCTCGCCCATAGTAGTATAGACAGACACATAGGACTGGAAGGGACCAGTATTCCCATTAAGCTGAATACTTGGACGGCCACCCAGAAGAGATTTATGTGCTGCCTAGCTGATTAGCAGAGTGCCCATAGTTGGCAGCATGTGTTTCTACTGGTGGTTCACTTTGGCACATGCCTCAGTGCATATAATAACATTTATTCTGCACATGGATGGAAAAAATTAGAGGGAACATTAAAAGGGACCTTGAGAGGTCATCTAGTCCAGTCCCCTGCACTTGTGGCAGGGCTGCATATTATCTAGACCATTCCTGACAGGTGTTTATCTCACCTGTTCTTAAAAATCTCAACTGATGGAGATTTCACAACCTCCCTAGGCAATTTATTCCAGTGCATAACCACCCTATAGGGTGTTTTTTTCCTAATGTGCCACCTAAACTACCCTTGCTGTAATTTAAGCCCTTTGCTTCTTCTTCTCCTCCTCCTTTTCCTCCTTGTAACACCCTTTTAGGTACTTGAAAACTATTTATCATATCCTCATCTCAGTCTTCTCTTTTTCAGACTAAACATACCCAGTTTATTTAATTTTCCCTCATGGGTCATGTTTTCTAGACCTTTAATCATTTTTGTCGCTCCTCTGGACTCTCTTCAATTTGTCTACATCTTTCCTGAAATCTGGGCCCAGAACTGGACACAGTATTTTTGCTGAGGCCTAATCAGCACTGAATAGGATTGAAGAATTAATTCTCATGTGTTGCTTACAACACTCCTCCTAATACAGCCCAGAATGATATTTGGTTGGTTGGTTTTTTGGCAACAGTGTTAACACTGTTGACTCATATTTAACTTATGATCTTCTGTGACCCCCCAATCTCTTTCTCCTCTACTCTTTCATTGGATGTCATTTCCCATTTTGTATGTGTGCAACTGATTTTTCATTCATATATGGCAGGGGTGGGCAATAATGTTTGGTGCACGGCCACTCCAAGATTTTGGAAAGTGGTCAAGGGCCGCACTTTCTGTGGAGGAAATGCGGGGTGTAGGAAAGAGGCTGCGTGCAGAAGGTCACATGGGGTAAGGGACTGGGGTGCAGGAGATGGTGTGAGTTCTGAGAGGGAGTTTGGGTTCAGGAGAGGATTCTGGCCTGGGGAAGGGGTACAGGAGGGGGTACAGGGCCTGGGAGGGAGTTGTAACCTGTGGCAGGGGGTGCAGAGGTTTTGGATGGTAACCTGGGGGAGGGAGTTGGGGTACGGGAGGGGCGGGGGTGCCAGAGGCAGGCTCTGACTGGGAGGTACTTACCTAAGCATCTCCTGGCCAGAACCCCCAAGGCAGGCTGGGCTCCCTGCCTGCGGCATCCATGTGGCTCTCAGCTCCTGGACAGGGAGAAGCTTGCGCTGCCTCCATCATCCACGCAAATCTCTCAGCTCCTATTGGTTGGTTGTTTCCCACCAATAGGAGCTGAGAGATTGGCTGAGGTCAGTTGCTATTGGCCTGTAGTTCCTGGCCAATAGGAGCTGAAAATTGGGTTTGGGGCGGGGAGATTGCATGAAGCCTGTCATTCCCTCCAGAGCAGAGAGTCGCCGGACTGCACTTTAAACCCGCGGCAGCTGCGTGCTTGAGAGTCCTGGCAAGGTGGCCTGTGGGACAGATCCAGTGGCTTTGCAGGCTGGATCCAGCCCCCAGGTCATAGTTCTCCCAGATGCAGTACTTTGCATTTGTCTATATTGAATTTCATCCTATTTACTTCAGACTATTCCTCCAGTTTGTCCAGATTATTTGGAGTTTTAATCCTATCTTCCACAGCAGTGTTTCTCAACCTTTTTTTTATAAAAGTATCCCCTTTTAAAAAAATTGTAAGTACCTACAGTTTTCAGACACACACAATTTTTTTCTACCATTGCAACACATTTGTTTAAACAACTTAATCGTAGCCAGGCGGGCGATTAAATTTTTGCTTGTAAAAAGTACAAAAATAATAAAGCGCTATAAAACTTAAAACAAAAATTCAGTTTTCTCCAAATTTCAGTTGTGTTGGCGTACCCCCCCAGACTTCTCTCGAGTACTCCTAAGGGTACTGGTTGAGAAACACTGCTCCAAAGCACTTGCAGCCCTTCCCAGTTTGTTATCATCCTCACACTTTTACGTCTACTCTTTATGCCATCATCTACATCACTGAAGAAAATACTGAATGGAACCAGACCCAGAACTGATCCGTAATGGACCCCACTTAATATGCCCTTCCAGTGTGAGCATGAACCACTGACAATTACTCCCTGTGAATGGTGATAGAAATGTAGCCGTGTTAGTCTGGGGTAGTTGAAGCAAAATGCAGGACAATGTAGCACTTTAAAGACTAACAAGATGGTTTATTAGATGATGAGCTTTCGTGGGCCAGACCCACTTCCTCAGATCAAATAGTGGAAGAAAGTAGTCACAACCATATATACCAAAGGATACAATTAAAAAAAAGAACAAATATGAAAAGGACAAATCACATTGCAGAACAGAAGGAGGATGCGGGGGGGTGGGAAGGGGGAGGAAGGAAGGTAAGTGTCTGTGAATTGCTGATATTAAAGGTAGGGAGAGTGGGATGTTTGTGAGTTAATGGTATTACAGGTGATAATTGGGGAAACTGTCTTGATAATGGGTGAGAAAGTTCAAAGACTTGTTAAGTCCCTGGTGGTAAGTGTCGAATTTTAACATGAATGACAGTTCAGAGGATTCCCTTTCAAGTGCAGATGTAAAAGGTCTTTGTAGCAGAATGCAGGTGGCTAAGTCATTTAGAGAGTGTCCTTTCTGGTTAAAGTGGCAAGAAACTGTTTTCTCTTTGTGATCTTGTCTGATATCTGTTTTGTGGGCATTAATCCTTTGGCGAAGTGTCTGAGATGTTTGTCCAATGTACATAGCAGACGGACACTTTCGGCACATGATAGCATAGATTATATTTCTGGATGCGCAGGAATATGTGTTCTTGATCTTATAACTCACTTGGTTAGGTCCAATAATGGTATCAGCAGAATGAATATGTGGACAAAGCTGGCAACGGGGTTTGTTGCAAGGGAAGGTACCAGGGTTGGTATTAGTGTGGTATGTCCTGTGGTGGTTGGTAAGAATCATCTTGAGGTTAGGTGGTTGTCTATAGGAGACTATGGGTCTGTCTCCCAGAGCCTCTTTGAGTATGGTATCCTGTTCCAATATAGGCTGTAGTTTATTGATAATGTGTTGGACAGGTTTAAGTTGGGGGTTGTAGGTGATGACAAGTGGTGTTCTATTGTTGGTTTTCTTGGGTCTGTCTTGAAGTAGATGGTTTCTAGGTATTCGTCTGGCTCTTTCAATTTGCTTTTTTATTTCTCCGGGTGGGTAGTTGAGATTTATAAATGCTTGGTAGAGATCCTGAAGCTTCTGGTCTCTGTCAGTGGGGTTAGAGCAGATGCGGTTGTATCGAAGGGCTTGGCTATAGACGATGGATCGTGTGGTGTGTTCTGGATGGGAGCTGGATGCATGTAGGTAACTGTATGAGTCAGTGGGTTTTCTGTAGAGAGTGGTGTCTAATTTTCCATTGTTGATTTGTACGGTGGTGTCCAGGAAGTGGATCTCTCGTGTAGAATGGTCCAGGCTGAGGTTGATGGTGGGGTGTAGGTTGTTGAAATCTCTGTGGAATATCTCCAGTGTTTCTTGGCCATGTGTCCAGATCATAAAGATGTCATCGATGTACCGTAGGTAGAGGAGGGGTGAAAGGGGACGGGAGTTGAGGAAACGTTGTTCTAGGTCAGCCATAAAGATGTTAGCATACTGTGGGGCCATGCGTGTACCCATGGCTGTGCCGCTGATCTGGAGGTATAAGTTGTTCTCAAACCGGAAATAATTGTGGGTGAGAACAAAGTTACATAGGTCTGCTATCAGGTTGGCAGTAGTGTCCTCTGGGATAGTGTTTCTAATTGCTTGTAATCCGTCTTCATGTGGGATGTTGGTATATAGAGCTTCTACATCCATGGTGGCAAGGATGGTATTATTGGGGAGGTTATCGATGTTTTGTAGTTTCCTTAGGAAGTCAGTAGTGTCTCGGAGATAGCTGGGGGTATTGGTTACGAAGGGTTTGAGAAGAGTGTCTACATAGCTGGATAGACCAGTAGTGAGCGTGCCAATACCAGAGATGATGGGACGTCCGGGGTGCCCAGGTTTATGGATCTTGGGAAGTAGATAGAACAATCCTGGTCGGGGGTCAGAAGGTGATTCTGTGAGGATTTGTTCCCGAGTAGCTGTGGGGAGGCTTTTAAGGAGACAGTGTAGTTTCTTTTGGTAGTCCAAGGTGGGATCAGAGGGGAGAGGTTTGTAAAATGTGGTGTTCGAGAGTTGTCTGGTTGCCTCCTGGTTATAGTCGGCCTTATTCATAATGACCACAGCACCCCCTTTGTCAGCTGGTTTGATTACAATGTCCAGGTTGTTTTTGAGACTCTGGATGGCATGGTGTTCAGCGCGGCTAAGATTGTGTGTCGCTTGTTGTCGTTTGCGAATAATGTCAGTCTGTGCGTTGTTGCGGAAGCTGTGTATATAGAAATCCAGATTGTAATTCCGACCGTCAGGGGGAGTCCATATAGAATTATTTTTCCTTTGGTGTTGGTAGGGGGGATCTGGTAGGTCAGATTGATGTTCAGTGGTGGTTTGGAAATATTCTCGGAGACGGAGGCGGCGAAAAAAAGCCTCAAGGTCACCACAAAATTGTATCCAGTTTGTGGGGGACGTGGGGCAGAAAGAGAGACCCCGGGACAAGACAGACTCTTCTGCTGGATTGAGTTTGTAGCTGGAGAGGTTAACAATATTATCCGGTGGGTTGAGGCAGTTGCTGTTGTAGCCAGTGGTATGGAGCAGGTTAGAAAATTTATTGTCTTTTCTCTGTTGCAGGGAACAGAAGTGTGTATAGTAGATTTCTTGTCTGGTGGAACAAAAGTCTTGCAAGGTGTCAGTCGGTGTGGATGTTTGTCTTGAGATGAGACGATCTAAGTTAGAAATGTCATTCTTGATGGTTTTCTGTTTCTTGTATAAAATACTTATCAGGTGGTTTCTTAATTTCTTGGATAGTGTGAGGCAGAGTCTTTCACTGTAGTCAGTGAAGTATGTTGATCTTAGTGGATTGTTCACTTTCAGTCCTTTGGGTACGATGTCCATTTTCTTGCACTTGGATAGAAAGATGATGTCTGTCTGTATCTGTGCGAGTTTCTTCATATGGTTGATGGATTTCCATTCCAAACGGCTAAATGTAGTGCCTTGCATGTAGAATAGTGATAGAAATGTAGCCGTGTTAGTCTGGGGTAGTTGAAGCAAAATGCAGGACAATGTAGCACTTTAAAGACTAACAAGATGGTTTATTAGATGATGAGCTTTCGTGGGCCAGACCCACTTCCTCAGATCAAATAGTGGAAGAAAGTAGTCACAACCATATATACCAAAGGATACAATTAAAAAAAAGAACAAATATGAAAAGGACAAATCACATTGCAGAACAGAAGGAGGATGCGGGGGGGTACAATTTAAAAAAATGAACAAATATGAAAAGGACAAATCACATTGCAGAACAGAAGGAGGATGCGGGGGGGTGGGAAGGGGGAGGAAGGAAGGTAAGTGTCTGTGAATTGCTGATATTAAAGGTAGGGAGAGTGGGATGTTTGTGAGTTAATGGTATTACAGGTGATAATTGGGGAAACTGTCTTGATAATGGGTGAGAAAGTTCAAAGACTTGTTAAGTCCCTGGTGGTAAGTGTCGAATTTTAACATGAATGACAGTTCAGAGGATTCCCTTTCAAGTGCAGATGTAAAAGGTCTTTGTAGCAGAATGCAGGTGGCTAAGTCATTTAGAGAGTGTCCTTTCTGGTTAAAGTGGCAAGAAACTGTTTTCTCTTTGTGATCTTGTCTGATATCTGTTTTGTGGGCATTAATCCTTTGGCGAAGTGTCTGAGATGTTTGTCCAATGTACATAGCAGACGGACACTTTCGGCACATGATAGCATAGATTATATTTCTGGATGCGCAGGAATATGTGTTCTTGATCTTATAACTCACTTGGTTAGGTCCAATAATGGTATCAGCAGAATGAATATGTGGACAAAGCTGGCAACGGGGTTTGTTGCAAGGGAAGGTACCAGGGTTGGTATTAGTGTGGTATGTCCTGTGGTGGTTGGTAAGAATCATCTTGAGGTTAGGTGGTTGTCTATAGGAGACTATGGGTCTGTCTCCCAGAGCCTCTTTGAGTATGGTATCCTGTTCCAATATAGGCTGTAGTTTATTGATAATGTGTTGGACAGGTTTAAGTTGGGGGTTGTAGGTGATGACAAGTGGTGTTCTATTGTTGGTTTTCTTGGGTCTGTCTTGAAGTAGATGGTTTCTAGGTATTCGTCTGGCTCTTTCAATTTGCTTTTTTGTTTCTCTGGGTGGGTAGTTGAGATTTATAAATGCTTGGTAGCAGCTCTTATTGGTTGGTTGTTTCCCACCAATAGGAGCTGAGAGATTGGCTGAGGTCAGTTGCTATTGGCCTGTAGTTCCTGGCCAATAGGAGCTGAAAATTGGGTTTGGGGCGGGGAGATTGCATGAAGCCTGTCATTCCCTCCAGAGCAGAGAGTCGCCGGACTGCACTTTAAACCCGCGGCAGCTGCGTGCTTGAGAGTCCTGGCAAGGTGGCCTGTGGGACAGATCCAGTGGCTTTGCAGGCTGGATCCAGCCCCCAGGTCATAGTTCTCCCAGATGCAGTACTTTGCATTTGTCTATATTGAATTTCATCCTATTTACTTCAGACTATTCCTCCAGTTTGTCCAGATTATTTGGAGTTTTAATCCTATCTTCCACAGCAGTGTTTCTCAACCTTTTTTTTATAAAAGTATCCCCTTTTAAAAAAATTGTAAGTACCTACAGTTTTCAGACACACACAATTTTTTTCTACCATTGCAACACATTTGTTTAAACAACTTAATCGTAGCCAGGCGGGCGATTAAATTTTTGCTTGTAAAAAGTACAAAAATAATAAAGCGCTATAAAACTTAAAACAAAAATTCAGTTTTCTCCAAATTTCAGTTGTGTTGGCGTACCCCCCCAGACTTCTCTCGAGTACTCCTAAGGGTACTGGTTGAGAAACACTGCTCCAAAGCACTTGCAGCCCTTCCCAGTTTGTTATCATCCTCACACTTTTACGTCTACTCTTTATGCCATCATCTACATCACTGAAGAAAATACTGAATGGAACCAGACCCAGAACTGATCCGTAATGGACCCCACTTAATATGCCCTTCCAGTGTGAGCATGAACCACTGACAATTACTCCCTGTGAATGGTTTTCCAACCAGTTATGCACCCACCTTATAGTAGCTCCATGCAGGTAGTATTTCCCTAGTTTGTTTATGAGAAGGTCATGTAAGACAGTACCAAAATCAAGATATATAACTCACATATAGTGTTCCCCCCCCCCTCACACTCTCTCTCTCTCTCTCTCACACACACACACACACACACACACAGCCTTGTTACCTTATCAAAGAAAGCTATTAGGCTTGTTCGATCAATTCAGTTCTTGACATGTACATGAGGACTGTTATATATCATCTTACACATGTATGATAAACAAAAGCCTTTTCATCCAGCACTTCATCAGTCAGCAGGCTCGAAACTCTGGCATTTCTGATCCGCACAGAAAGTCTTGTTTATAGTGTTGGGCTGACGCGTTGGAGGGGGCTGCAGGCAATGGAGGCGACAGCCTGCCAGGCTCTTGCACAAGGTGGGCAGACTGGTTCCATGCTCCTAGAAGATGTTGGGCTGAGGCAGCCAGCCCTCAGCACCACCCTAAGAGCTGCTTGGAGCGCTGGGCTTTATGTACTGAGGGGCAGACCTGCTGGGTCTGCAAATTCACACTTTTATCAGCCCATTGAAAAATCAAAACTCATTTTTTTCCAAAGTCCTAACATTCCCATCAGGGTTTGTGAAGGGCTGCTCCTTCAGCCAAAGAGAAACTGATCTAAGGCCACTCCGTAGCCTCTCCCATCAAGCACACCTCTGAGAGGAAGCTACCCCATTCCCACCCAGTAGACCTATATAGAGATTTTCCTCCTAGCTGCTGGAAGGCATAACAGCCTTCTTGATACTCCTCCATACATTCCTTGGCTGGCTAGTCAGTGGAACTGGCACTCCTCTTATTTTGCTCTGTGTAAATCAGGAGTAGTTCCATTAAAATCAAGATGCATCACCTGTATTAGGTCCCCAGTAACTTTCACTGAAGCCACTGAAGATCTTCCCATTGATTTCAACTGAATTTGGATCAGCCATTAGATGAAAGCAGAATAGAAATGATATAACTTGTAGCTCTCGGTATATTTCAGTTACATTCAAAAATCAATAGCAGAACCCTCCTGTGATTAATTTAATACCTCTCAATATACATTGCTGGAGAAAGGCCTTGTAGCATAGTGAATCATATGCTAACTGAACGTGACAAAGGTTTGGCTTTTCAGGTATTTTTTCACTATTCTTTAATTAGAATAAAATTTTCTCCATCAGTGTCATTACAGAGTGAGGCATTAATTCTGACCAAGTTTCTAAAACAAAACAGAAACACAAGAGATTCTCAAATATTTCTCATTGAATGAAAGTTGAGTCAGAAAATAAGGCTTTTATTGTTGGAACGGACTGCACTGGACTAAAGATTGACCAATATGTTTTCTTTATTTCTTTTCAAGCTTCTGCCTTTTCTGAAAGGTATTTGGGACTACATGGCATTGATAACAGAGCATATGAGGTAATTGCATGGAGTTGAGAACAGAGCTTTAAGTCTCTTTCCAAACAAAATGTAAACCTTTCTTTAACTTTTTAACCCTATCTTCTTATTTACGTTTTGGAGGGAAATATCAAAAGCAATGAGAGCAGTAAAAGAGTATTTGTTTGAAAGTTTTTTTGGCTTTAAGTCTGCAGACTGAAAAGCTGGTTTTGTTTCATTGAATGTAACAGTATAATTAATAACCTGGTCATTCATTAATCCTCAGGATACACCTCTAAAGTAGGGAGTTATTATTAGCCCCATTTGACAGGTGGGCAAGCTGAGGCAAAGAGAATGAGTGACTTGTCCATGGTCACAGGAGAAAACAGTGTCAAAGCTCTGATTAGAACGCTATTCTGATACTCAGCCCATTAGATCATGCCTTTTCATTTACAGTCCATTTAAAGTCACTTTAATATTTCACCCAAGTTAAATGTTGAGCTGCTGATGGTGATAAGCACAGAATGGGTATTTCGGAATTCTGAAGCTTAAGGTGGTGGTACCCAGAAATCTGGGCTTCAATCTAGCAAAGTTTAAAATTGCAGCTAGCTCATTAGATACGGTGTTATTGCTGAGGACATGAGGGAGGCTCAATGGGTAGGAATGCTTCCATTAGTTTGTAGAAGCCAGAAAAGAGTAACTACATGGAGGGAAAGGGTCCCTGGTCAGTGTCTGCGAAGTGCCGAAAAATAGGTACTAACCCTGCACCCAGCCAGAAGAGAAAAATCAGTCAGATACCATGTGCTTCTCCTTAACAGGTAGGGCTTGTGGGTAGGTGATCCATATAGTGAATTCCCTTGTCCTCTAAAATTTCAACACCATAGTTAGGTAATTGTGTGTGTGTGTGTGTGGGGGGGGGGGTTCTAGAAAGTTGAAAACGAATCAGACAAAGTGAAAGCAAAGCAATCAGTTCTCTCAGTTGGGTGTAGTGCAAAATATGTTGGCTATTTGATTCAGAAGGTTGGTTTTGATAAGTACGGGTATTTTAGATTAGCCTGAGGAGGGAACTATTTAGCTGTTCAATGTGATTTCATGCAACATTGCAGTGTTCTAAGTTTGGCCTAATGACAGTGCCTAGACACTGATGTAGCACATGCTCCTTAAACACCACAACTGTGGCATGCACTCTCTAATAATTGAGGAGCATGAAACTGCTATTTCCTGAGCTTTGGAACTATGTTGTGGAATTTGTAAAGACCAGATCACCCAAGGCCTGGTGCAGACTTTTATAAGCTATGATTTTCCACTAGAGGCAATGTTATAACAGAAAGAGCACCAGGCAGGGAACTACAGGGCCTCGCTGCTATATGTCCAAGATACAGTCAAAAAAACATGGGCATATAGCGAAACGACATAAAGCGGTGAATTTTTTTTCTGCAGCTGACTTCCATTTGCACAAATTGATCTCTCTCTTTTTTTTTTTTTTTTTTGCACACGACTTTAGAGCAGGAAATGGAGACTTATAGCACAATAGTTCCTACAACCATCAACAATGTTAGTATAGAATTGACATATAACAGGGATTCCCTGTAGATGAGAACCAAGAAACAAAATGTTTGTGTGGAAGGATGTTCCCTGCTGGGTTTTTTTCACCTGTATACACTTACATGCAGGTTTCCTTTCGTTTCCTTCCTCTCCCATTGCTGCTTAATAACTCTGTTAACTGCTTAAATGCAAATTAGGGCAAACACGCATTCCTTTGTTTACTGACTTCTGACTGGACTAATAACTCTTACAATGAATTGTAGCTTATGTTTCTAAATATATTTCACCATAACTATACTGATCAGCAAGTTATGAGTTTTCAAATGATATCTCACAAGGTATACTTTATACAAAGATTATTACACTAGTGTGTAGGGTGTGACATCATACTCACCATTTACTGTAAAGGCAGGATTGGTCATGAAGTGCAAGAAAAGGTTAGAGAAAAGAACATCATAGTTTCTCCTCTATTTTGCTGCTGTAATGATTTAAGCTGCCAAGAGAGGGTATGTCTACACTACCCCGCTAGTTCGAACTAGCGGGGTAATGTATGCATACCGCTTATGCTAATGAAGCCCGGGAAATTCAAATCCCGGGCTTCATTAGCATAAGCGGGGAGCCGCCATTTTTAAAGCCCCGCTGCTTCGAACCCCGTGTAGCGCGGCTACCCGGGGCTCGAACTAGGTAGTTCGGACTAGGGTCCTATTCCGAACTACCGTTACTCCTCGTGAAACGAGGTGTACCGGCAGTTCGGAATAGGCACCCTAGTCCGAACTACCTAGTTCGAGCCCCGGGTAGCCGCGCTACACGGGGTTCGAAGCAGCGGGGCTTTAAAAATGGCGGCTCCCCGCTTATGCTAATGAAGCCCGGGAAATTCAAATCCCGGGCTTCATTAGCATAAGCGGTATGCATACATTACCCTCCTAGTTCGAACTAGGAGGGTAGTGTAGACATACCCAGAAAGAGGTTGCAATGATATTAGCTAGTTATTCTGTTGGTCACATATCAAACAGTTAAAATGCTGTTTTTCTTTGTACTTATAAATCACTACTTTCTGGGTTATTCTTACCTGCAACTTTTATCTTCATAGATCACCAAATTAGCACACAGAGTTTCATTACTGAAAGATCAAAAGTTTTTGATCATTCATGCCACAGCTGATGGTAAGTTAATTCACTATTTTAGTGTGATACATCATGTATTTTATGACACACTGATTTTTTTCTTAATTAAATTTGTCACATTTATGCATTTATTGATACTAATCTGATTTTACAGAAAAAATCCATTTCCAGCATACTGCAGACCTTATTACACACCTAATTAGGGCAAAGGCTAATTACAGCTTACAGGTACAGTATGTGGTTGTTTCCTTTTTTTCATACTTAGTCATTTTGCACTTGGAACAGAAGCCAGATATTATTAAATAAACTTTAGAAAACCCTCACTGTATATACAATATAGAAATACAACTAGAACTGCAATTCTAAGCTATATGTACATTATGTAGTTATACTTTCTCTTTCTCTTTCTGTCTCTAACTGTCTCTGTCTTTCTCTCTATCACCCACACATACACAATCATTATTTAGATTTGCCCAATACTTCTCCAAGGTCAAATCTCAAAATATATGTACATTGGATGAGATTCTCAAAGAAATTTGATATTCAGCTCTTGCTGACTGTCAATGAGACCTAGGCGCTCAACTCCACATTCCCTTTCGAAAATTGTAGCTTTCAAAGTCTGTTATAATTAACTGTCATTCATTTAACATGTAGCAAAGTTGCCTGTTAGATCTAAGTAAAAAGCATAGCTGAGATAATTTAGGAAATTTCCTTTAGAGAGTTATTAAAGTTCCTTCTACCAACAAATAAATTCCTTTTTCAATAGGTTTGCATTCAACTTTTTAAAGTAATGAAACTACAGTAAAACTCCATTGGTCCAGCATCCAATGCTCTGGCACTCCTGATGGTCCGGCACCATCAGGAACCCGGAAGTGCTCCGGGCAGCCGGACAATTGGAGCTGCTTTGCGCCCGGCTTCCCCGATTCAGCCGCTGCTGAAACTGACCAGCAGCTGAATCAGGGAAACCGGGGACAGAGCAGCTGAGGTGCTGCCGAGTTGGTCTCGCAGCGAGGGGCAGCACTACCGGACGAACCTGGTAGCACCCCAGTGTGGTCACCCTAAGAGCATATCTACACTACAACATTTTGTTGGCATAGTTTTGTTGGTGAGGAATATGAAAAAAATGCCACCCCCTCCAAGGGGCATAGGTTGGCTGGAAACACTCCCAATTTCTCTTCTCCTTGGAGCTGGCTGTTCTATACTGACAGAAAAACTCCTGTGTGCATATGCTGCATCTGCAGTAGCAGGCTGTGCTGATACAGGTATTACCTCCAGAACATTTGTCCTGTAGCTAAGGCCTATTTAGGTTTAACTTAAACCTGATCAGAATCAACTTTTAAATTGAAACAAGTGTGTCCACACAGACGTTGGCACCAATTTCACTAACCTGGTTTAAATACAGTTTGTTGGTTTAGCCAGTGCAAGACAAGCCCTCTAAGTGCCGTACAATAGTGTTTGTGTGAGGTCTGTTAGCGAGAGCTGGGTTTGAGTTGCAGAAGTAAGCTCTGGACGGACCCCAGGTGTTCACATCTGGGATTTTAGTTCAGACCCATTTCTAATCTAGCATACAGCTACTCACAATCTCCTTGGTTCCTTTGCAGATATACCCTGATGAAAGCCATTACTTTAACAATGCCATGCTTGAGCAACACTTGTACCAATCCCTTGTCAATTTCTTTGTGGAATGTTTCAAAGTTCAGGACAAAGTCCCAATAGTCACACTGAAAGAGGATGAGGAGGAAGATTAACCCTTTTGGTTCGTGCTAAGCACAAAGCCGTTCTTTATAACAATATGCAACTGAATCATTTTCCTGGAGAAAGAAATGTTATGTTGTTAGCATGTATTTAAACAAAACTGAAAGCAGCCTGCCTGCTTTACGGACAGCAACTCCTTCCTGAATGGAAGAACATTAAGCATGATGAACTCAGCAGAAACTGCTGTCTGACATGAATCCGTCACATACATCACCACCTTATTTGCCACAAAATGACTTCTGGAGTAAAAGGCTTTCAAGAAACTGGACTTGAAGGACCACCCCAAGAAACCACCTTGTGGACTAGCAGGTTAAATGGCCCTTTTTGCATTGAAACAATGAAGTAGTAGCAATGAAATTCATCCTCTCTGTTAGGGTTACCATAGCATCCTGTTGTGTCAGATAAAACTTAACAAATGAAAAAGATTATAGCACAATTATTTTAAGGTACAGATTCATACATATTCGCCTGTTCTCCCCCATGTTTAGAATATTCATCATTGCTATGGGGCATACAGATTCTAATTATACAAAGTATCACTGTAGTTACACTAATGTTTAATTAATCTCATATAATTAATTACTATTTTATATTGTTTTTACCTATTCCTCTTTACATTTGGTCTCATGCTTACCTTATCAGCTTCACAACTTGTCTTGGATGTGGAAGAAAACAGGCACTGAACTAACTAGACAAGTGTTTTTCAGTCGGTGGGTCATGACAGAAGAAGGGGGTCACAAAGGCAATCAGGGAAAGGGGGGAGGGTGCAAGGTCTTACATTTGATTACAGTGTAAAGCAAAGAAAATCTTTGTTCCTTCCCTTCCTGCACACCCTTCAGTTATTCTCTGGTAGCCTCTCCAAGCGCACATCTAAATAAATTATTTTTGGGAAATTCAATGGCTTGTGTTATACAGGAGGTCATACCCAATGGTCTCTTCTGCTCTTGGAATCTATGAATGTAGGATTAGCTTTGATACATTTTACTCCTCTAGAGAGTAAACGCAAACATTTGTTACTTTGAATAAGTGGTCACCAACTAGGGATGTAAATGGATAACTGGTTAATCAGCGCCCAGCCCAGACGGAGCAGCCTACCCGTCCGCCCATTGGGAGCCTCACAGGGCCAAAAGCCAGCAGCCAAGCACCCATGATTAACCGTGTGACTGATAGAATTTTTATCGGTGACACGGTTAATATTTTTATATATATTTTTACATCCCTATCACCAACCTGAAAGGGTTGAGAACCAATCTACACTATGATAGTGGAAGTTTGTATCAGATACTTGTGAAGCATTAAAAAAGAAAATCAATTTGGATAGGTTTATTTCACATGCTGTTTGCAGCTTACTTTTGATTTTGGATTCCAAGTCAACGATTGTCATATTCCACTTTTTGTTATGTTTTTTGTTTGCAGGAGATTTATACACTCAGAGCATGTATGCTCAAATTGTACTACTCTTTCCAGGGGTGGAAAACAATGTTTAAAAACCCTCATGAAAATCTTTCAAATCTCAAAAATTATTAATTCACTTGCGGTTATCATATCATAAAGATTTTTGGCTAGTGTTGCTCATTGTAAGATATTCTGACCAAATGTACAGCCAGTATTAATATTGTATATTTCATTTTGTTGTATATAAAGGAATGTAAGTCAGTTATTTGTCAGGTCTCCAATCCAATATTAGTCTTGTGTTGAGCATGCATGCTATAACCTTCCTTTGCTGATCAGGACTCTCTAGAGGTACTAGCTTGAAACTATATCAATTAATGTGATTTCTTTTCTTGTTTTGACAACATGAATGTCAGCGCAGGTTTCTACATTTTTACACAGTATTGTGGGTAAACTCACATCCTGACAGCAATGATGATGTATCCATTGTGTTCTTTAAGGTGTCAAGTTCTTTTTTTTATTTTAATTTCTAAGCTTTGACTGTTGGTTGTAATTAGACCATCATGGACTCTATCCTGGTAAATCATCGAAACAATCTAATTTGGGGGGTTTTTTTTTTGGGGGGGGGGAATCTTTAATTTACAATGCAGTGACATTTTGCGAACAGGAACTACAGTATAAATCTGCTGTACTAGGCAGTATGCCAAATAGACAATACGAATGCTGTGTGTCCAGGTTTCGCTACACTAAATGGGCTCAAAAGTCTGAAATGAACTGGATCAGAAAAACATCAAATCTGTTCTGTCCGCAATCTTTTGTAGGAGGACATTTAGGATGTGGCATGGTAGTGTTTGTTCATCCATGGAATAAAACATTATTTTACCACCCTGCTTGCTATTTTTTGTGTTTTAGTTACATACTTAAATAATAGTTATTATAAGTGTGATTTCTAACTGAAGTGGCAACCAAACCCCAGCTGAACAGACTCAATATATAACACCTTGTGTGAACGCAGAAAGCCACTTACTAAGCACATCTCCCTAACAAGGGAGTGCTGTTTCTGAGGAAGATGTGAAGTGCTGTAGAATGTGATCAGTCCAAAAGAATCTAATTTGAAGTCCTCTGTTACTCAACCATCTTTTCTGACAACAGTGTCTGTTGCTGTACATTCTCTGTCATCATAGAAGTAATCAGTGGCCTTTCTACAGTCCACCCCGCTAGCCATTTCTTGCTTGCAGCTAATGGCAAGGCTATAGTCAAGTATTCTCAGCTAGGGAAGCTTGGCCAAATGGCCTTTTAACATCATTTATAGCAAGTTGCAGTGAAGACCACAAAAGAGATTTAACTCTATTGCCATGTATTCCGTCTCTTCTGCTAGAAGAAAGACGGTTGTCAGGTTAAGTGAAAGAAATAGGAGTGTTATTCTAACACTGATTTTCTGTAGCAGAGAGGTAGCCGTGTTAGTCTGATCTTGATAAAATAAAAAAAGCAATCATGTAGCACTTTAAAGACTAACAAGATGGTTTATTAGGTGATGAGCTTTTGTGGGGCAGACCCACTTCTTCAGACCATATTCTGAAAGTGAAATGGCATGACCATTACATAACAGAAGGGATACAGTGAAGAAGTAACCAAATCAGCTACATAGAGATTATGTACAAGTTACCTGTGTGTAGGTGTATCTGTCAGTAACATGGGGACAATACCCATTGGAACATGGCATTGAGCTCCTTGGTTGCTAAGTAAGGGCTACATTTTCTTCACATATTATATGTAGCATCTCTCAGATTGGAGAAGATCCGTGGTTGCCATACACTCTGGGATAAAATGGAGTTTTCTCCCATTATAAACCTTGGTTATCTTCCTAACCTCTTACACACACGCACACAAACATCACATGCTGCTCTCCGCCTTGGGCTACTACTTCAAAGGGAGTTTGGAATCTGCACTCCCAGAACTTGTCTTTCCACTAGATGCTTTTTTTCTCCTGTTATCCCTTTAAAAGCGTAGGGTCAGAGGCTTGGTCATGGACTAATTGCTCACCAAACATGATGGAGAGGAAAACACATTTTATGATCTTCAGAGGGGTAGCCAAGTTAGTCTGTAACGGGAAAAACGTTAAAACCAACAAATAGTCTGGTAGCACTTTAAAGACCAACAAAACATGTAGATGGTATCATGAGCTTTCGTGGGCACAGCCCACTTCTTCAGATGATGTCTTGCTGATTGTTTAGGGTAGATGGTCTAAACTCAGAATGATATAATAGTAGCTTATTTACAGTGCTGGACCTATAATAACATTTAACATTCCTGTGGTGGGAAGAATACCTCAGCAGTCCAGCACTCTGGCATTTAATTTCAAAAAGGGGACTGACTTACACAAAAATGAGGAGCTTAGTTAAACAGAAATTAAAAGGCACAGTGATGAGAGCCAAATCCCTGCAAGCTGCATGGAAACTTTTTAAAGACACCACAATAGAGGCCCAACTTAAATGTATACTGCAAATTAAAAAACATAGTAAGAGACCTTAAAAAGAATCACCGTGGCTTAACCACCATGTAAAAGAAGCCACAAGGGACAAAAAGGCATCTTTCAAGAAATGGAAGTCCAGTCCCAGTGAGATAAATAGAAAGGAACATAAACACTGTCAAATTAAGTGTAAAAATGTAATAAGAAAAACAAAAAAAGATTTTGAGGTACAGCTAGCCAAAAACTCAAAAAATAATAGCAAAATGTTTTTTAAGTACATTAGAAGCAGGAAGCCTGCTAAAAAACCAGTGGATCCCCTAGACAATCAAGATATAAAAGGAGCAATCAAGGACGATAAAGTCATTGCGGAGAAGCTAAATGATTTCTTTGCATCAGTGTTCACGGCTCAGGATATTGGGGAGATTCCCAAACCTGCACTGTCCCTTGTGGGAGATGAATCTAAGGAACTGTCCTGGATTGACATGTCATTAGAGGAGGTTTTGGAACAAATAAAAAAACTTAACATGAACAAATCACTGGGACCGGATGGCATTCATCCAAGGGTTCTAAAAGAACTCAAATGGGAAATTGCAGACCTGTTAACTGTGGTTTGTAATCTATCCTTTAAATCGGCTTCCGTACCTACTGACTGGAAGATAGGTAATGTGACACCAATATTTAAAAAGGGTTCTAGAGGTGATCCCGGCAATTACAGACCAGTAAGTCTAACATCGGGCAAATTAGTTGAAACAATAGTTGAGAATAAAATTGTTAGGCACGTAGAAGAACATAATTTGTTGAGCAAAAGTCAATATGGTTTCTGTAAAGGGAAATCATGTCTTACTAACCTATTAGCGTTCTTTGAAGGGGTTAACAAACATGTGGACAAATGGGATCCAGTAGATATAGTATACTTAGAATTTCAGAAAGCTTTTGACAAAGTCCCTAACCAGAGGCTGTTGTGTAAATTACATTGTCATGGGATAAGAGGGAAGGTCCTTTCTTGGATTGAGAACTGGTTAAAAGAAAGAAAACAAAGGGTAGGAATAAATGGTAAATTTTCAGAATGAGTAACTAGTGGTGTCCCCCAAGGGTCAGTCCTAGGACCAATCCTATTCAACTTATTCATAAATGATCTAGAGAAAGGGACTCACAGTGAGGTAGTAAAGTTTGCAGATGATACGAAATTGTTCAAGATAGTCAAGACAGAAGCAGACTGTGAAGACCTTCGAAAAGATCTCACCAAACTAAGTGATTGGGCAACAAAATGGTAAATGAACTTTAATGTGGATAAGTGTAATGTAATGCACGTTGGAAAAAAATAATCCCAACAATACCTATAGTATGATGGGGGCTAATTTGGCTACGACAAATCAGGAAAGAGATCTTGGAGTTTGCGTGGATAGTTCTCTGAAAACGTCCACACAGTGTGCTGTGGCGATCAAAAAGGCAAAGAGAATGTTAGAAATTATTAAGAAAGGGCTAGACAATAAGACACAGAATATCTTACTGCCCCTGTATAAAACTATGGTACCCCCACATCTTGAATATGGTGTACAGATGTGGTCTCCTCAACTCAAAAAAGATATTTTGGCTTTGGAGAGGGCTCAGAAAAGGGCAACTAAAATGATTAGGGGTTTGGAACAGGTCCCATATGAAGAGAGGCTACAGCGACTGGGACTTTTCAGTTTGGAAAAGAGGAGACTGAGGGGGGGGATATGATAGAGGTATATAAAATCATGAGTGGTGTGGAGAGAATGAATAAAGAAAAGTTATTCATTAGTTCCCATAATAAAGACTAGAGGACACCAAATGAAATTAATGGGTAGCAGGTTTAAAACTAATAAAAGAAAGTTCTTCTTCGCACAGTGCATAGTCAACCTGTGGAACTCCTTGCCAGAGGAGGCTGTGAAGGCTAGAACTATAACAGAGTTTAAAGAGAAGCTAGATAAATTCATGGAAGTTAGGTCCATAAAAGGCTATTAGCCAAGGGGTAGGAATGATGTTCCTGGCCTCTGTTTGTCAGAGGCTGGAGACGGATGGCACGAGACAAATCGGTTGATCATTGTCTTTGGTCCACCTCCTCCAGGGCACTT